GCCTTAAATTCCTTGTTATAAACACTTGATGACCAATCTATAGTATCTCCGAAACTATTCGAGTCCGACCCTTATATAAATAAATGAAATGACTCGGGAAGACATCCCCAACAACATATTTAAAAATGACGCAAATCGGAGAGGAAGCCCCTTTTATGCATAATTACCGAAAATAGTCACAGTTCATGGGTGATGCGAGTGATTTTACGAGGAATATTGCAGAGCAGAACTTGTTGAAGAATACCGGGAAAAAAAAGATAACGCTATTATCGTTTCTTCGTAAGAGCTCCTGGTTCTTGAGTGTGATTCACGTCACTTTAACGGCCGCGTGACACATGCGGTTACGCCGCGATATACGTACATCGATAATTGCAAATGCTTGAATCTCCTACCGCGATAACCCCGGCATTTCCAGAAATTTCATCGCGAGATGCAGACACACTGTCGAAATGCATTTCACGTGGAAGTACGCAATTTTTACCGTACTTGCTCTAAAATTTCCTATGCCGTTGAATTACCGTTCAACGCTTTGTCTTCATAACACGTAACGGAATCTTTTCCCGATTTTTATTATCTTCAACCGGCTATACATTTGTAATTGCACAATTATCGTCATAACGAAATGATTCGCCACTCATCAGTTAGTCCAGAATCAAGACCGAATTTGATAAACGTTTTAATCGTTTACATTGCATTAAATTACAGATAATGGCGCACTCAATTAAGCGAACTTTGCGCGTAGAGAGAAAATATTATATATGATAGCTACGGGGGGTTTGGTCGGAGATTGAGTGACAGTGGGAATTAGGCGTTTACATATTTTTGGCTGTACGCTGCATCGGTTGTTTGTTATTAATGCATGTAATTAATACTATATGTACAAATTATACAAATTACATAATTCATTATAATATCCATATACTATTGATACCGTTAATTTAGCTAGATGAAAATACTTGAAATTTATGAGGATTCACACGGAAAAGTTAAAATCGCATCTCTCACAGAGAAAATTAGAATAAAAATTACCCACATTTCATATTGCTTAAAAATATACTATGGAAATACATATGAAAGAACAAACAAGAAAAAAAAGTACTTATTTTTCATATTTTTTGTGATTTGGTGTATGCTTTGATAGATTGTCGTATTGGTAAATTAATAGCTATTGACTTTTTAAAGTGCGATCTACCGCAATAAAAAAAACGCTTTTTAAAACACTCTCTAAAGATATGAAAATAAACGGATGTGATAATAATAATTATACATGTGTGTCGAATTGATTTAAGCTGAATATTCTATTAATTGCTTAATAAACACATTTTGGGGAAGAAAACGCGACAACCATTATGGTGGGAAATTTCCTGAAAATACGAAGAGGTTTCTTCTGCAGGGAGGAACGACAACTGAATCAATTTGGAGAACGGTTTTGATAGGCCGAATGACACGCGAGCGCGTTACACGGCGGGTGTTCTGAAATATTACACCGGTGGTGCCGCCAATTATCGCCGACAGCGGGCGAAAAACGTAATGGACGATTACAACTAACATCAAATCGTGACACTTTCGGACAATAAAAAGTCGGGAATGTGCAAACTGCCCTGCGCGCCGTGACGGCCGTGGCACGACGACACTGTTGACAAAACGTGATTATATTTTGCTACATCATACGCGAAATCGGGGCCAAATGTCGAAATAATAACTTTGCGCGGATACATTATAGTGAGGAATGCGAAAACGAAATAATGTTATCAGGGGCTGCAAACCGTATTATTAATGCTAGATCAATTTTGAATTTGACAGACACGTTAAATAATAATCCCCGCTATCCTGGCTATCTCAAAAGGATCTTTGGATAATTAGTAACGTTGCTAACATATCACAATGCAGTACGACAACAATAGAATAAATTGTTTTAATTTCACAAAATGTATAAATTAGACATGTGCTTTATTGAGCACTTATATCTCGTGTTAAACATTTACGGCGACAATCTAGCGAGAAGAAAAATTTTACAATATTTCAATTCAATATGTTGTTACAAGTTTAAGAAAAATTTCTTTCGGCACAAATAAAGATAGTTTTTCGTCACACTGTATCTGTGAAACTATTGGCACTTTCTTATACATGTCCATTTACTTTTGTTATCTTAATGTAGTAGTGCACTAAAACTTGATTAATTTATCATTTACGATGATTGTTGGAAATTTGCACATCTTATCATGCTTTGCGTAGAGATAAACACGACACGAGAATATATCTTCCTGTTTTGATGATGAAATTAGGAATGATGGCTTTCGAGAATTTTACGGTTGCAAAAGAGGAAGAAGAATTGGAAAGATTCCAAGAGAGATGATTCATCCGAACATTACGCAGGGCGATTTATTGTGAATTCTAGTATTTCGAGTGAAAGTAAAAATCAAAAGTATTCCTATTATTGAAAGCACTAGTTTAAAGGGCAAGCATTATTATCCTGTTGGTTAATTGCACAAATCATATTTCAATGTTACGGCTATAAAATTAATAGAATTAAATCTTGTACGTTTTATAGATGCTAAAATCCATCTCTCGCGGTATTAGTGATATTTTCATTGCAATGAATATGTTGTGGTTGATTGTCGTGATATATTGAATAAACGGACAAATAAAGAAGTGACGCGATTGCACCACGATGCTATCGCGGGCCACGAGGAAAGGCTTTTGTTATCGTGATATTGTTTTGCGGGGGAGTTTATAATTTTTCCGAGTCTTTGTCAAGATCCATGAATACATAGATCTTTACGTAATGTGTTTACCTCTAGGATTCTCACCGTATTTGTGCAATTGATGAAGCCTGATAAACGGTAATAATATCAGTGATGAGCATAAACAGCGTAGACTCGTAAAAACTCTCAAGGTGCACCACACGCCCATGTATGTAAAGAGATTATCGTTCTATATTTCTATGTGCACATTGATTCTGTATATAAGCTGAGCGCTCGCCGAAATGATTCACTTTGAATTTGACTTGTCAGCTAACTACAGGTGAGGATACGAAAGTTTCAACTCTAGTCTAAAAACCTTTTCTTACCTCCACAACATTTCTACATACTTTATAGAACAGGAATCTCTCAAGTGATTAATCAACATGGGAAAACTCATCGTGCTTCTTTGCTTTGCGCTTGTCGCAATGACTTTGGTCATGGGGTGCAATAGACCCGGAATGCTAGTAAGTACCGTTGCATAGTATTGTTTAAAACTGTAATACGTGTACAGTCAAATCTTTTATTAATTTATACATTTGCTTTATGAAAACCATTAAATTAATTAATATAATTTAATAATACCCTTGTTTAAAAATAAATTTTATATAATTTACATAGATGACACAATTTTAAAATTTCACAAATTTTCGAAAAGTCAATATAAGAAACGTAAATGTAGATATTTTTAGTTTACTTGATTGTTATTTACATTTTATATTTATTATATATATTTTGTACGTTAACTCGGTGTACCAAACATCTTTATAGAAAACGTGTAATTTCTTTACTCTAAGTTAATCGCAATTAGCCAGAAAGAGTGAAAGATATTTTTATTTAAAGTGTGTCTTAAATATTTTACGATGTAAGTGTTAATTAAAGTGAACAATTTTATAAATACGTGGAAATGGATTAAACCAGAAGTGACGAAAGTGCATTAAGTTAAATAATTAAGTTACTTAATACAAAAGACAACGTACAAAATCATAATCTCGCGGAATCTTTTGCAGTGCACGACAGACGATGACTGTTGCGGACCATTTACATGTAATCAATGGGCTGGTGGTAGATGGGGTGGTAGATGTACCGGGAAAATGGGAATGGGACCCGTAGACCCAGCAAACGTGCAGGGTTGGGGACCAAGGGATGCTGCAGAATAATCATAAATAATAGCTCGACCTGGCCTTTCTTGAATAGAACTATGATTTAATCTTGTTTCAACTTAAAAATATGTGAAAATTTACAATAATTGGAAATACACTTGCTTAGTCATTACCCAGCAATATGTAACCTATTCTTCGTGTTTTAATGAATAAGAACCCTTTACTTTACACTGTCAACCGAATGGAAACTGATTTGTAACAGCAGAAATAATTTATTTTATAATGCTAATAGTTATTTTATGAAAATGAAAATGTAATTGATTGGGTTCTTATATATTAGAAACATACATTCTGACGTGAATTATAAAGTAAATAGATCTGATGATCAACCAATGTAATTAACAAATAAAATTATATAGTAACATCAAATTAAAATGTCTTTAGTTCTCGTTACTTAAAATTGTATGTATCATAAGGTGACTGTAATTTTCTCTGCAAGATAAATTTCCTTTTTAGTTTCCGCTGGAGTATGCCGTTGCAACTGAATACATAATGTACATTTGCTTAAAATATTTTGCAATAATTCACCTTATCTTAAATGGCTTGCGGCGATATTTCATTAGAATCGAAAAATGATTAAATTGAAAAACTTTACTACAAACGGTATTATTAAATTTCAAAGAATTTAAAAGACTAAAGGGTATTATTAAATATTTATTATTAGAAATTACTGTATTTTAAAAATAACAATGTTTACTTGTTTAACGAGAACAAAATTATAATAATCTCTGCCTTCTGATCCGAAATGTCTGTCAGAGATTTATTAAAAAATCTTTTTGCTAATACAATTCCCTCAATGTACTTGTTTAATAATGAAATAGATTTGTAATTATGTGAAAAAAACAGTTTATACAATTGTATTTTATAATTTGATTATTATATTCTGTAATTTAATCTTGTGGAATATATACTGAATATTGTAAAAGATTCTAACGTCAACAAATGCTAAATATTTCAATCTGTGAAATACGGAACTGAAATAAAATATACGCCTGTTACGGCTCTTATAATTAATAATTTGGATTAAAGAGGCGAGAATTTAACTTCGTAATAGTCTTCCAAAACAAATATTTCCTTTATAACGGATGATGTAAGCGGTACATTTCCGATATTTTCAATTTACACAAGTGTAAAATATAAAGTATAAATACAGTTCGAATGTCAAAGATCGATCAGTTGCGATCACATCGTACAAAGCATAAGGCAGTCCACTTCCTAAGAACAACGGTGAGTTCTTAAATTCATCAAACTATTTTTACGAAACTATCCGTATTACATATTAATACAATTTTATTATTTTATTAATTTCGACATTTTAAAGATATATTTTGTGTAAAATGATTATGGTGCTTTATAGTATAGCGTCCCATACAACACACATGTCTAATAGACATCTTGAAGATGTATGGGATTATTATTAAGCTATTATATTATACATATATTACGTATATTGTAATTATTATACAAGAAATAATAATTACAGAAAACATTGACAAGATGAAGTTCGTTATTTTCACTATTTTCGTTATGATTGCTATGGCTGCTCTTCAAGGGAAGCAAGCAGAAACATTTGCGTATGAGTGCATTCCTTTGAGTCTCCCTGTATGTATTTCGATCGCATTTATGTATTATATGAATACAAAAGACCATTATTTTTTGTATATTATAAACGAGTTAAAAACGAAAAAGAACGAATGAAATGAAATTAAAATTATAAAGAAATTAAAAATTTACCTTTTATATTCTACGTATAATTCGTATAAATTTATTATGTGTATTAAAAGAGATAGGCAAATACTAATTGAAACTTGCGTTGGTGTATTTCCAATATTAATTAATATTAATTTTTATATTGAAATATATCTCGAACTAATGTATATTATAAATATTTTAGTGCAGACAAACTAATGACTGCTGTCGCTATCTGGAATGTGTGCCACATGCTAACATATGTGTGCAACAAAAGGTTCGGGATGAAAACGATAACAGACCTCTTGGACCAAAAATGCCATACTAATATGGATTGGTACTTTATTATATCTGACTACGGCACTACTGTTTTTCATATATATGTATAAAAAAGAAGAGTGAGATAGAGAGTTCTATATCACATGTAACTTCTAATAAAGACATTCAAGAGCTATCAATATTCCCTGTCTTATTCATTAACAATTAACACTATAGACAAGTAATGTACATTTAAAGAAAAATGTATTTATATTAATATAAAAAGGTGTGTAATATGTGTAAATATATTTAATTGTTCTATATCTTGCACTGCCGCTGCATATATGCGTAATACTTTGATGAATTTTATATCTTTATAACATATGTATAAAATCTTTTATAAATATTAATAGAACAGAATTTAAAGATTCTAATTTTCTTGCGAATTTGATTAAGTAAAACGGAATAATATTATTCTGAGATAATTATGTATTAAAAAGATCTTATTTAGGAAGTCAGAAACTGCCACCTGTGCAACGTTGAGTAATATCGTTTTTGACTCATTCTTACGTTAACCTTGCGTTGCATTGCGCATGTTTTTATCCTTACTTGTTAATGGCAGAAAAAGCAATTACAAAGAACAACGCTCCATTAGGCAATAATATTTAGTTGGCACCTAGCATATTGCACTTTACCATTTCTGGATAATATTTAAAAAATGATTTTAAATCATCAAAAGATAAAGAAAATTTATCCCAGAAAATTTCATTTCGTTTGTTTTGAATATTTTTTGTTGGAATACTTTTTTATGCTTTTATATAAAATGTAGTTTATCCAAATATATACTTATATGAGTGAATAAACAAATGTTTTCATAACATAATTTTTACGACAGATGTATATTTAAATACTTTGTTTTGAGTTTTCAAGCCAAAAACATATAAATTGTGAAAACATATAAATTATAAAAGACATTATGTAATAAATTGTAACATTCCCTGATTTATTATATTCAAAAAGAGACTAGGTAAAAATATCACGTCTTTATATACAAAATAATCTTATAAAATTATTAAATATATAAAAACTTATAGAAAGGAAATAAATCGATAATAAACTAACACTGCGCATCGCACCACCAACTCTCCAATACGAAATCTAAAATAACATAGCTATAGTTATGGGTCGAGAGAGAAAGAGATGACTGATCGTGTGTCAGTTCTTTTCTACCATTGAAACTGACTAAGGTGTCGAACGTACATGGACATAGGCTCTTGCCTTACGATGTTAGCATATCCCCTCTACATGCTATAAGCATGCTGTTATGTCTGGCATCACTATAAATGGAGCCATCTTCGAAATAATTTACTTTGAACTTGAGTAGGCTGACTATAAAGGATACGAAAGATTCATCTCTAGTTTAAAAGTATTTTTCTACTTTCACAATATTTCTATGTACTTTATAAACAGAAATCTCTCAAACAATTAATCAAAATAGTAAACTTCATCGTGCTCCTTTGCTTTGTCGCAATGACTTTGGTCATGGTCTGCTTATCACTTGAAGGGAGCGTAAGTACCGTTGCATAATATTATGCTATATTAAAATTGTAATATATGGACAGTCAAATCTAATATTAATTTATTATATATATAAACTAATTGAAGAAAATTGTGAAAATTTTACAAATTTAAAAATGTAAGAAACGTAAGTATAGTACATTCAATTTACTTGATTGCTATTTTTATTTTACATATTCAGTGTCTTAAACATGTTCCCTGTAGGAAACATGTTGCATCTTTTTTTCAAATTGTTCACAATTAAGTAGAATAAAGAACAAATAAAAGATATTTTCGTATAAGGTGATACATTTTGAACATCTTGAGTAGTGAATATAACACGAATCAAGATGTTCAAAATATGAAACCTTATACGAAAATATCTTTTATTCGTTCTTTATTCTCTACTTGATTGACCTTATTCTACTTGAATAAAAAACGAATAAAAGATATTTTCGTATAAGGTGTTACATTTTAAACATCTTGAGCAGTGAATATAACACGACTCAAGATGTTCAAATTATGACACCTTATACGAAAATATCTTTTATTCGTTCTTTATTCTACTTGAGTGTTAATTACAGTGAACAATTATATAAATGTGAAAAATACGAATTATACCAGAAGCGACGAAAGTCATTGAGTTAAATAATTAAGTTAAGTAATACGAAATAC